AGGCAACACCCAAATGCAAAATTTAGTCGCCACGGGGGATCGAACCATTAACAGTACCTTATGCTTTTTTTGGTACTGCTAAAACCGTTCAGCGAAAATGAAACATGGTTTTGTGTTCCCTACATGCGTCCCTACAATATGCAAAAACCGTTTTGAAAAAGCGCAGCTTGCCCTGAAAGACCCCCCTTGAGTCTACTTTTAATGCATCTTCGTCATTGTACTCTTACCAATTGTCCTTGTCAAAACGTGCAGCAAGCTGGGAACGCCTCCTTGCGGATTCTGCCATTGACTCAGGTACTGCTGCCCTAAAAACACTTAGTTACTACTGATAATCTTTGTAAGGCTGAGACCCTATTTCCCAGCCATAACTGATGGAAACTACCTGCAGTCCCCAGGCCATTCACACCTTTGTCTAAGCCGTTGCTTTGTCCTGAAATAATTAATTATTGCTGTTTTTCAACAAAAGTAATGCCAAATCAAAATTTACCTTGTTGGACCATTCACTTTGCCTTTGTCGTTCTTGGGATCTAAAAACGTATAGTGTTTCGACTCAAATTTTTCGAAAATTGGTGGATCAATAATAAGGTTCGTCTGAGGAAGGGGCCAAACGACCAATTCTTTTATATGCGAATGCTTTATCCCTTTTCAAGAGATTCTTGTATAGAGACGACTCCCTACTGGCGACTTCATGCACAACCATGCTCTCACATTGCCAACAGCAAAGGGGATCTTGGGTATTGTGTCTCTCTAAGGCCGATGTCATAGTTTGCGAATCGAGCGATTCGCTGGATCCGAGCGTTGCGCCAGCGAATCGAACTTTGCGCCAGCGAATCGACCGATGCACCAGCGAGTCGAACGATGTACCAGCGACTCGACACTGTTTGAAAGTGGCGGGACCCAACGTTTGAAGGAAGTCCCGCCACTTTCAAACAGTGTCTTCCTTTAAAGTGGACTTCCTTTAAACGTTGGGTCCCGCCACTTTCAAACAGTGTCGAGTCGCTGGTACATCGTTCGACTCGCTGGTGCATCGGTCGATTCGCTGGCGCAAAGTTCGATTCGCTGGCGCAACGCTCGATCCAGATTCGCAAACTATGACATCGGCCTAACCAGGAAGAATGATTAGCACGTGCATCGCTTTTTCAAATCTTTTGAATGGCTTTGAGATTGCGAAAGGATGGCAGAAATCTCCAATTAAGAAGTGAAACTTCTACATTTTTGACATGCTCTACAGCATTTGTAGCGTTGAGTAATTGCATAAAGAATTGTTCAGTGACTGAGTTGAAACATATATTAGCGAAAGGAACTTGTCGTCAGTGAACCGAACAACAAGCCACTGTTTTCACATATTTTTTTTTACATTCCCAGAGCTACTTAGACAAAATGGTCCTCAGCCTCATGCTCAGCGCGGGTGCCGCGGTAACATGCAAAAAGTCTTGAAAAAGCGCTTCACGTCAGAAAGAACTTCCCGGTAATTTGGGGGATGCACGATGTGTTAAGGCGGTGCAGTGGCCTCTATCAGGCCCACGGTCAAGGTGTTAAAGCCATAATCCAGGATGACGTCGTGACGAACAATCTAATCCGTAGATAGGATAGAGTTGCCCCGAGGAATTAGTCGCGGCTCGAAAGTGCGCGATGATGGGCTAAAACCATACAAAGGGAGCTACACCTGTATAGCTATTGTCTTTTTACATATTTTAGGCCCATCATCGGTGTATGGGCCGTCACCGACATGGAGAGGTGGTGGACAGTGGTAAGTCCGCGCGCTTTGTCTCGCTCAGAGGACGGGAATCGAGGCAACCGTAAAATTTCACGCTCACTAGATAGAAGAAATTTTCGAATTATCGAGTAAATTTAGGCATGGTAGTGATTGTCGCGGTATAAAGTGATTTCACCTTCAGAATGAAAGCCTATCAATGGATTCATTTTGAACTCCTCGAACATGCTCTTTTTAGCCTGAATTAATCTGAACTTTGTAGCAACTAGCGTACAGAATTCAACCTCTTCATTCAACAAGCTATAGATTGCTTACTTTCAAAAGTGGAGCGCCTCACCAGAGATGGGATACGAAAATTTAGGAAGTTCAAATTGTTTTCGTTCTCAGCAGGTTTTGGACTCATGCAAATGTTCAATTCTTCAAAAAATCGCCCGCAGCTGTCTCGCTACCGCGTTTCCTGCTGCACCGTGGCCTTTCAACATTCAAACGTTTAGTAAGCTTATTTCAATTACTAACTTTTAGAGTGCAGATTTTCAGGAAGCTATAGGTCTAAAAAAACTACAACATCGACGCTTTTGGAAAGCACATATCAAATCTTTCCTAAATAGCTGAAGGCGTATCTTCTCAAAAATCGTTCCTGTTGTGTCCGTGTGATGTGGGACGTAAATGCGTGCATTTTTATTTAAAGGCACGCTCCACGATTAGGCGCGCTCGCCTCTTCCATCCCGGTGGTAGTAGGCAGGCGGACAAGTGTTGTTGTCGCACCCCTTTCTGCCGCTTGAAAGTGCGCGACAAAGGCACAAGCAGCTCGTCCGACCTGCAACTCACACCTTCGTCCGCAAGCCCCACCCTCCGCTGTCCGTTGCCACGTGGCGCTGTTTGAAGAGCGCGGGCGCATTTGGGGCAGTGGTCCCACCGCGACCCTGTGTTCAATGGCGGTGGAGCAACTCCATGAAGGTAGAGTCAGGCTCGAAAAACTCGTCCAACGCGCCTTTTCTCTATCCCAAGGTGGAATGTTGCTGAAATAGGGGAGGTTTCTGTACGGGGCGTAATCTGTGATTTCGTTTGCTTTCCTTCTCTTTTATAGACCACCTCCCACCTCTAGTATCATGACTGAACGCTTTTAGACACCTATTTTATCCCGAATCTTGCCTTAAGAGCATTTCTTGAAACGAAGTTATAC